TATAAATCACGTAAACGACTATTTTATTGCGAGAGAACATTTAACTGCACGGTTCTACTGATTTTCTTGTAATTTCGGCATATTAGAGGCCATTTGTGAACCCAGGTTTTGTATTTTAAGCGGGGTTATATTTTATTTCCGTAATCCAAATTATTTCGCTGAAAAGTATTTCTTTTTTATATTAAGATCAGAGTATCATCAACGTTTACTAGTCTGTTCTTAGCTTAACCTTGTCTTACCCAAAAGAAAATGGGAAGAATAGAGTTAACACGAATTCTGTTTTTCCTTTTAATTATCGCTTTAAATAGATTAATGCCATGCTATGCATTTGAAGCCATTTCTTCCGTAGTATCCGTGATTGGGGCAGCTACAGTGTCTATGGTTGCTTTAGGATGGAATGCAGCTAAATGTAGAATGTATGAATGTTGTGATGTTAGGTGGATTGAGTCGAATTTTACAGGTTAGCTAAGAACCTCAGTTCTGATTACGTTATAAACTAGAAGGAAATAATAATCTTAAAGAAGGTTATATATATTAATGCCTGAACTTAAAATGTGGTTGAGACCCATTGTTTCTTGAATAATTTACATCTGTCATTAACATTAACTGATGTTTGAGATGATTAACATTTATTTAGTTTGATTAGACTAAAGTATAAGAACTACCACACAGTCATAATCCAGCACACTTACCCTATCTATTCATCTGTTTCCTTCAATACCATTAGTTTTAGTAATAATGGTTATTGATCCAAGCTAGGAATAATTTCATAATAATTAATATGTTTCTGATAACCACGAACGTAGTTTCCATACAGGCTTGTAAGCCCTGTCACACATACTTTTGCAACAACAAAAATGAAAAACAAATGATAGAGATTGAGAATGAAGAGAATATTGCTTTACTTTTAAATACAGGGGGTAGTGCTGCCTAAGCTCACTGGAAACCCACTCTAGCACTTAAAATTGGAGCTGGACCTGACACTTCAAAAGCTAAACATATGTACACGAAAAATTATTCAGTTTACACCCAAAATTAAATGTCTTTTATAACTAAAATCTTGGAACTCTAGTCATTTGCAATCTCCCATGTCCACTGGTGGAGCTCTCTCAAACCTCACAACACACATTCCATTTCTCTCTGTTAGGAGTTGGCATCAGGCACTGCCTGACCACTCTGGCTCACGAGCATTGTCGGAGTATTAAATGAATTTTTTGTCATACATCACATGGTTTAAATATACGAATATGGTATTAAAATACTTAATAAAATACATTTTACAACTATACTGAGTGTTTAAAATGTACACAATTTTGAAATATTTTACATAATATGCAACAAAGGTTTCTGTTCTTAGTTACTCATGTTGACAGGACAGAAGATATGGAAAGCATTATAAAACTATTAATACTGTTTGTAGACTATTATTACTAAAAGTGAAGTTGAAGGAAACAAAAATATTGTATACATGGAATTCTTGTTGTTGTTGTTTTCTTGGTAATATATGTGTATTCAAATTATTATTAATCTGAATAATTGCAAATAATTAGTATTGCATATACACTATTTATTTAAAATGAATTCACAAAAATAGAAATTAAGTTTTGAATAAGAAATTTTTACCTTAATGGTGATGTCACACATCTGACAAATTTTGTCAGAGCTGTGGCACTATAAAACTTAGCACTGTACTACAGTTTAAATCTGCTTCTGCCTTTTTGGTTCCATACATATGGTATCACTAATTAATAACTAGTAGTATCAAGACATTCATGTCAGTAGAAAGTTACCAACTTGAGACAGTAGAAGCTTGAGTTTACTGACTTTTATTTTAAGGTAAGATATTTCTCATATCAATAACTTTTGTATTTATTGGCTTTATAATTATATAATATTAGTGCCCATTTGAATGGGCCTTTATGGCTTTGGTGAGGTTAACAAATTACTGAAGTTGTCGTGTCAGGAAGCATATAATGTATAGTTTTTTAGTAACTATAAATGATGTCAAACCAATAGGCTGTTTGATTTTGTATTGATGGTTCCTGACAGTTTTTAGTAGGATTTGAGTTTAGCTATTGACTTTTGGGCTGCTGTAATTTAATATCCATAACTATATGTTAAATATTTCAATATTTTTCAGTAAGATAGAATGTTTTATAGCTACTACTGTCTTAAGTCACGAATTTTTTACTAAAATTTGTGTTCTTGATGTTTTCTGTTACTAATTGGTGAGACCTCTACATATACAAGTTTAGCTATTTCAAAGACTAAATGGTATTGGAGGAAACAGCTGGATGCAGGGTGTTTGTGTTAGACTCTGACCTTGTATTCATACTTTTTTATTAAACCACATTGACACTGTTATTGGGTATAGAGGTCAGCATGTAATTCTTATGTCATAAGAACTTTAATAAGTTTATAAACAAGCATTCTACACTTGTGTTTGAAAATAATGAAAATCTTTTAATTTACTTACTTAATGTAATATAACTTATAGACTTACTTGTAAACCCTAGTGGAATAGAAATTTGAAATGCAGATTTATTTTATTCTATATAAAGGATGATAAACTGTGAAAAATCATGATCATTTATTTTTTAGCAAAATCATTATGTGACGTGTAATCTTGTGGAATGGTTTTTCTTTAAAAAACAATATTTTATTAAAAACTTTCATTTATGTAGGTCTAAACAACGATCTTGGTGATCGCCTACATGGACAGCATCTGGTGAAAGAAACTGTCTTGAAAACTTTGAAGGGTCATTTAAGGTACAAAAACTCTGGGAAAGCTCTGGTAATGTCATTTCATGGATGGACAGGATCTGGAAAGAACTATGCAAGTCATATGATAGCAGAAAATCTATATAAAAATGGATTGAAAAGCAAGTTTGTCCATGTTTTTGTATCAACACGTGATTTTATGTTTGAAGACAGAGTTGACCAGTACAAGGTGAACTAGTAAATATTTAAAACAGAACTGTTATAATTGCTATCAGTTGATACAGGTCTTGTAATGTAGTAGGTGACACGTATACAGCTGCACAAGAATCATTTCTAAATAGCAAAAGTCAAAAACCAGTGTTAAATTGTTTAATTTGTTCTGAAGGACTGTTTTGTAAAAACAGTTATTAAATTCTAAGTTATTTAGGTTGGTGGATTTCTTTGAATTATACGATGCTGGATTTAAGTGTTCTTTGTTTTATAATTAAACGTAAGACTACATTTTAATTCTCATCATGTGCATATAATTATCCAGTTGTGTGGCATGTGCTGTGATTTTAACACTCCATAATGTGAATTTCAGCCATTAATTTAAAAAACATCATCCAGGTCATTCTTATGTTTTAGTACTGCTAGTATAGTTATTTCTTCCACAGTTTGTTCCTTCTGTCTGCATGAGAGGCAGATGTTTGATAGTTGTGATTTTCTCACCTTAGTTTCTATGATATTTTAAATTATTAAAACTTGATAAAATACATAACAACACCATTAACTCCTTCCAGTGATACTTTAATTGTTTAAAGGATGCTGCTAGTGAAAAAGCAGTAGATTTATGTGCATAGAATATCAACAATTTAAGTTCCTGGTGTTTTGCCTGTTCTATTTCTTTTCCGTGTATTTATCTATTTAGTTGAGTTCAGTTTGTTATCTGAATTCATCCACATAGCCACAAGAGTAATAATAAATAACTGATGCTGGTACAGGAATTACTACTATAGAATACAAAGTTTCTTTACAGTGATAATAAGGATTAGATAACAAGTGTGTGAAGCAGTAGCTACACACACGGATGTGGCCTGATTACTAACATTTTGTATGTTCATTTTACGTACGAATGAAAACTAGTATTATTTATTTCTGATGATTTAAAATGTTTTGCAATAATCCTTTCCTAATGTACTGACATCTTTCCATTCAGCCACTAGGTCGTCTACCTCGACTAGCTCAATAAAGACACACAACTTCCCATGAACTATTTAACACATAAAGACAACTTCCAAAGGACGGTGTTTGATCATTTGACAAGTGATATTCACATACTGAGCAGCATAGCCTCACACGAACTCACTAATTTGACACATTAATCTCAGGCAGCTGTAGATTGAACCTAGGTTAACGAACCTTACAATTAATTGACAAACAAATCCCACTAACTTCCTAGCTCTAAACGTTGGAACTATAATTCACTTAATACTTCAGAAAATAATAAAACCATTAGAAAAATTTAGAATTTATTTCAATTAATGATATTCTTTGTATTTTTTTTCCTTCTACGTCTTGTGCATTTTTATAAAGTACACTTGTGGTTCATCATATTTTCTATGGATTACTAGTCTACACTCTTGTTACTTATTTTCTGTCAAAACCTAATCCAGATTCTTGTGTTGTACTGAAAACTACTACTTACACAAGGATTGAAATATACTGATATATAAAGCACTACAATTTTCTTTTATAGCATGTGGTAAATTTTAAACTTCTATTAGAAGATCATAATAGTTTGTTTTGGTGGATACTATTCTATATCCACAGTTGTTTATGATATGATATCAGAATATCTGGTATAAAATCTCCTTGAATTTATAGTAAAGACTTAAAAAATAGAGACATTAAAAAGAAAATGGCTGCCACTTGCCATTTTGAATATAAACAGTACTATCACTCTTACATTTTGTTTCACTTCTACTATAAAAGTAAATGCATGTAAAGTATTATCATTATTCTTGTGAATACTTTATTGTTTTTCAGGCTGACCTCCAAGAGCGTATCCAAAAAGCTATCAAAGAATGCCCTCGCTCTCTCTTTATTTTTGATGAAATAGATAAAATGCCTGAAGGAGTAATAGATGCATTGAAACCATTTATTGACCATAACCCTTCCTTTGATGATTTGGACTACACAAGGGCTATATATATATTATTAAGGTAATTCCTTTTGAAATAACTTTAGTATGTACATGTACATCTTCAAAATATCATTTGATCTGATTGGTAGAAGTTTAGTCCTCTGATAATCCTTGTTTCCAAAACATACATACCTTTGCTGGCAGTAATAGCTATTTCTCGATCTTCATCTTTGCCATCTAGCATTGTGTTCGCTTGCTCCAGTCTTTATATACCCAACTCGACTGCCCTCGGCAATATCTGATTTGCAAAACTTTACGCCAGCTATCACACTGTCTATGCAGGTACTGAATATAAGCACTGTATGCAGACAATAAAATCAATTTTTCTCAACAAAGTGCAGGCATTCCGACTAATGTTTTGTGATTTAAATTTTTTTAATTTTTGCTTTCTAATAATCAGGATATCTTTGTTCTATCAGGATATCTATCGATGTCTTTGGCTGCCCAGTTGAACTGTTCTCTAGAAGATATTTTGCAGGTCAGTATGTGGACATTCCTTTCATATTCTTTGACCCAAACATCCTTATCAACTGCCTAATTGGAACTTTAGAGTTGTTTTACATTCCTTATCATGTCATCCCTTCGAACCCATGACCTCCTGTTCATTATATCACCTTTTCCTCAAAGTTCTATTTTTTTTATTGCTGTTAGATTTTGGATGGCATCATTCTGATTTATTTGCCATTCATATTCAGTGGTCTCTCTATCATCCTACCTATGTTTTGCTCTATCCCGACTGATGATTTATTTCCAAAACTCTCGCTGCCAGAGAAGGAAACAAATCTTTTTCTCCTATTCATTAACCTGGCATTTCTAATCTTTACAGTAGATTAGACCCGGATCGTTTGTTATGTTCCGTCAAGGCTCTCAGATGTTATGTGGCTCATACGGAACCATTTTGAGGCCATAGGAACAGACTTTTTATTCACTAGGATCCTGCAGTGTCCAGGGATTTATCACCTGTTACTTTAACCAGATGGCTTCGAAAGTTGATCCATATTGCCTGTTCGGGCTTATCTGTTAACAATCGCAATATGCTTCACATCACCTCTCACCAGATTTGACATCTATCGATGTCTTTGGCTGCCCAGTTGAACTGTTCTCTAGAAGATATTTTGCAGGTCAGTATGTGGACTTCCGCCAACACGTTCATATCTCATTACCTTCATGATCTGGCAGTTTCTTCTCCGATGGGATTTTGTCTTCCCCCTGTGGCTCTGTTGATTACCTCTACTAGATTTTAACAGGGTGGTGAGTAACGTGTTATCTGACTTACAGTTATTGATCCTTTCTCTTCTAGGGTCCCTATTGATTTTCTTTGGATCCCACTCAGTGTTGAATGTTGCCCAGTCGGGTATTCTTGTATTTAAATTCCGCACTAGCAACCTTTATATTGGTTCCTGGTTCCATTGGGATCTGTTTCGAGATGAGGTGTTCCATAAGACCATCTGGACACAATTCTGGATGGTGATATCATATTACAATATAGCTAATGGAACACTACTCATGGACTATCATGAGTAAAACTAAAGGGGATTTTGTTAGTCCCTTGGCTGTTTGGTTGGGGCTGGACCATCATACTTGTATTATATTCCACCCTTTTCAATTTGCTGTAGTTTTGGGTGAAGAGCATACCTGTTCTGAATGTAGTGCTGTGTTCCCCACTTTGGTACCACTTCTTGTGGTACATATTTGTTCTCTGCAGACATTTTCTGTATAATCTCTGTCCTCACTGGACTCTCCACCTTCTCAATGTGGAATTCTAGCTATAAGTGTTTGTGGAGGTATGTATGTTTTGGAAGTTATCATTTTTCTAAACTGAAAATGTATTTCCAAACATACTTACCTCTGCTGACACTCTCCCTCCCCACTAAGAGCCAATGTTAGTGACCTGAATGAGGGAAGTCTCGAAAAAGTGATTTTATTGTCTACATACAGTGCTTATATACAGTACCTGCATAGAGGGCGTGTGAGGGCCGGCATAATGTTTTGCAAATTAGATATTGTTGAAGGCAGTCGAGTGGGGTATATAAAGACGGAGCAATCGAACACAACGTTAGATGTCAAAGATGAAGATTGAGAAATAGCTATTAGTATCAGTGGAGGTATGTATGTTGGGAAATACATTTTCAATTTAGGAAAATGATAACTTATATCTATGGGCAAAACCAAAAATCTTTTTACCTAAGAAAAACCGTTTAACTCTTATAATTTTCTAGTGATAAGTACACAAGTGAAATCTAAAACTAACTCTAGTTTAACACACCATTAGTATCTGCAGAATGTTTCATCTTTCTTAATGCTCGTATATAGGCCTTGTTTGTGTACAGTTGCACTTATGGCCAAGAACACGAAGAATAACAGACTTTATAGCATACAGATTCCTTTATAGTTCGAATTCTCTACTTCCCATACAATCTACCCCATTTCTTCTGCTAATGGAATGTTACCCTTTTACTCTGAGTTTTTGGTCATAAAGGATATATTTGTCAGAGTTTTCATTCTAGAGCCTAACTTGTGAACTACTACAGAATATGCATGATATAACTTTTTCAGATTTGATGAATCATGCACAAAATTTCAAGATACAATTAAAAACATCACATTAGTTGAAAAAAGTTTTGTTAGTTTTTATATTTGTCATCTTATGCATAAAATTGAAGATCAACGCTGAGGTTTACTTAATTTTTATGGATTTTTGTACCATAGTTAAATTACTGTAATTAAACATTTATTATAGTGAACAGGGTCCTAGAAAGGTGAACATTTTCTCTTTAATTTTGTGTTCTCAAATTCAATAATACATGTATGAAACTTCTTTTTTTCTACCTATGTTAATTTTATTGTTTTAATACTTGAGAGTTATTCTTTCTCTATGTGATACCGTTTGTACTTTACTTTTATCATTCACCTTCAGTTTGATGTGAGCAGCCCATATGGTCTACAAGACCAACTAATTAATATGTACACATTTGTAAGTGCCTGTGAGCTTATTTTGGTTCATTAGAAGTAGTTGAAATGATATCATGATTGCAAAGTTCAACCATTTATCTTATAACTAATTTGTACAATAATCTGATATTTATTATTTTTCTGCCAGCAACACAGGAGGGAAAGAGATAACTAAGGTGGCTTTTGAGTTTTGGTTAGAAGGGAAGGATCGCAATGAATTAAGCCTTAAGGATATTGAACCTCTGATAAACAAAGGGGCTTTTAATGAGAAAGGTGATGTATCGTACTGCAAAATGATTATAGTATTATTTTTACTTTCCATTTTAAGACTGATAGTTTAGAAGATCTGAGCTCAAAGAGTTTTGATTAATAGCCAGTGAATTAATCCATTTTTCTAAATAGCTCTATATATATATAGATGAAAATTTTAGTTTTATGTTATAGTATTGTTTGATTTTACAGTAAACCTTTAGGCTTAACTTAGTTCAATTGCTGTTAGTATAGTTATTATAATCTTGTCTTGTGCTAATGAGTGGTTTCATAGTATTAATGTATTTCTGCCGGTCATGAGAAAGTTCCCTTGTCATAGTAGATGTAGACTGCAATATATTTTCTAAAGCAATGGTTCATTATCTCTAGTCCCCAGTTCACTTATGGTCTCCTGGCTCCTTTCAGGTGGTTTGTGGAAAGGATGCATAATTATGGAAGTGGCACTCTAGTATATAGAATGGTTGCTCCAGTAATGTCTACCACTACCTCTTTGCCTGTCCTTGTTGAGACAACCTTTGTCCAACATTCAACACCTGGATGTTTGATGACTCAAGCTTCATGCATGGAAGTTATGCAGTCTTATGCCCGACATAGGGGTTTAACTTCTAAAGTTTCTGTTTATTGGACTAAATCCCTCTGTGACCTACTATGCCAACCTTTCAATGGAAATGTACTACATATCGTCAGTGGTGTCTTCTGTGAGCCTTCAATCCACTTCATCCAACAGTCTCCATTGTTTCACGTTTTTTGACATGAATTTTTGAGAGAGGTTTGGCTTCTTCTACCTTGCATTATATACAGCATCCTTAGCTGCTCTCTTTCGCTATTCTAAATATAGGAAGGTTTTTGACTCTCCTGTGCCATCTCATCTTATGATCCTTTCATATTCTTCAACCCAAACAACTTTTTCAGTTGCCTGGTTGGGACTTTAGAGTTGTTTTACATGTGTTATCACTTCATCCCTTCGAACATATGGCCTCCTGTTCATTTTATCACCTTTTCCTCAAGGTATATTTTTATTGTTGTTAGCTTCCGGGTGCCACCATTCTGATTTATTTGCCATCCCTGTTCAGCGGATCTCTATCATTCCAACTGTGTTTTGCTCTATCCAGACAGATCCTTTCTACCGAACACCATCACTGCCGGAGAAGGGAATAAATCCTTTTCTCTTATTCTTTTACCAGGCATTTTATATCTTTACAGTCGATCAGACCCGGATCGTTTCTTGTGCCCAGTCAGAGCACTTAGATGTTCTGTGGCTCATACAGAACTGTTCAGGGACCATAGGAACTGGCTTTTTATTCATTGGGATCCTGCAGTTTCCCAGGATTTATCACCTATTACATTAACCGAGGGCTTTGGAGATTGATTCCTATAGCCTATTCAGGGTTATTTGTTGAAGATCAAAATATGCTCCATGTCACTTCTTACCAGATTTGGCATCTATCAATGTCTTTGGCTGCTTATCTGAACTGTTCTCTGGGGGGTTGTTTTGCGGCATGGTATGTGGGCTTCTCACGACACTTTCCTGTCTCACTACCTTCCTGATCTGGCAGTTTCCTCTTCTGTGGGATTTTGCCTTCCCTTTGTGGCTGTGTTGACTACCTCTTCTAGATTTTAACAAGGAGGTGTGTGGCGGTTTTTTCTTCCAGTGTCCCTCTATTTCCTTTGGATCTCACTCAGTGGTGAGTGTTGCCCACTCAGATGTGCTTGTATTTTTGCAAATCTGCACTGGCAACCTTTATATCAGTTCATGGTTGCAACGGGCTCTGTTGAGATGAGGTGTTCCATAAGACCAGCTAGATGCTATTCTGGATAGAAGTATTATCTCACAGTACAAATCCAATGGACTCAAGAACTGTATAATGAGTAGAGCTAAAGGGGATTTTGCCATACCCTGCTGATCTTCAAGCTGAATCAGTTGAGATCAGTTTTCTTTTAAAACTTATGGAATGTGGTTCACTTGTTGCACTGTGTCTGGAGACCTGTTCCTTGGGACTCCCAACTGTGCACCGTACCCCCCCCCCCCCTAGATTTTTCCTAGATGTTGGTAGGAGCAGGATCAACCTACGCGGGAGCCTACTCGTAAAACAGGTCCAGATTTGACGCTTAGCTTTCTGGTGGTGGTGTGCTTGGACCCTCATATGAACACTGTCGAGTCTTAGGTTGTTTATTCAGGGATCCACTTGAGTAGATTAAGTAAATTAGTGTGTGAAAAAAATAAGTTTTGATAACCTAGTATTTTATGGATTATTTTTATTATCTTTCTTCACTTGCCAGTATTTATTAAATATATTTCAGTTTTAAAAAACCCATTGTAGGATTCATAATATTGGGAATTTTGGGTTTATGATAAGAAAGATTTTAAATATTTTAGCCAGATGAAGATATGTTTCTTAAATTCATATTTGTTTAGATATTTAACGTTGATTTTTACTATTGTTCAATATCTTAGGTGGACTTTCGAAAAGTGATATTATTCAGAAGAATTTGATTGACATTTATGTGCCGTTTCTTCCACTGGAAAAAAAACATGTTACACTTTGTGTCGAGGATGACTTAAGAAACAAGGGTTATAGCCCTAAAGATTTTATTGTTCAACAAGTGGCTGGTCAACTTGAATACTATCCCTCAGAATTTCAGTTGTTTTCCACAACAGGGTGCAAAAGAGTCTCTTCAAAGGTGAACCTTATGATAGATGATGACTAATATACAGCAATGCAGGGATAAAAGAAATGTATCATTTTACACAAAATAATTGATGACAGTTTAACCTGATAGAAACCTCTTTGTTTCAAATGAAGTGCAGTTGTAAGTTTAATCACTGTTTTACATAGGCATTAAGTAATCATGTTTTGAGGTGTAAACTGTCTTGAAGATATTTATGTTGTGTAAATAAATGATAAAAATTACTGTCACAAAATTATATGATATAAATGGGTAATAAGCAACACATGTTAACAGTATTGTCACATCACATCTGGTATCAATATATATTTAGTTCTAAACAAATTTTAGTATAAAAAACAAAATCAATACACACACATTTTTATTTCAATTATATATTCAGTAAATGATATGATAAGGAAGTTTTCTTGTTTACAAAATATCAAATATTTTGGAACAAGAATATTATTTTTTGTTAGCCAGTATAATGCCAGTAGAAGTCCATACACAGCATACATATTGTCGAGACTCATAAGAAGTTCCAACTGTAATTAATGGGCTTAACTGCAGTATTTATCGTACTTTGTTTACATTTTTGTGCAACGTGTGTGTTATTAAGGACTCTGTAGCTAACACAAATTTCATAAAATTTTAAAGAGACTAAAAGGAGCTTATTAGCCCATCAAGGATGTCCCTTCCAGCTCCCAAATAAAACCACTCCTTACATTGTTTACATTTTTGTGCAATGTGTGTGTTATTAAGGACTCTGCAACTAGCATAAATTTCATAAAATTTTAAAGACACAAAAAAGGAGCCCATCAAGGATGTCACTTCCAGCTCCCAACTATAACCACTTTTTACTACTTGTGTATTCATCCAGTCTTTTCTTAAACTCAGTTAAATTTTGAAGGCAGCTTATTCCAAAAGCCAACCATCCTAAACTGCAGACGACTCCTATGCTGCCAAAATTTGAGTTTATGACTCTTTGTCCTATTGTTTTCACTTCTTAACACAAAAAGTTTGATGGATCTATATTATCAATACCCTTAATCTTAAACACCTCAATCAAATCCCCTCTGATCCTTCTCCTCTCCAGAGAAAATAAGTTTAGAGATTTTAATCTCTTCTTATAGGACAATCCCACTATATTCCAGGTATCATCCTAGTGGCTCTTCTCTGAACCTTCTCCAACAATTCAATGTCCTTCCGAGGAAGGGAGTCCAAAATTGTACACAGTACTCTAAATGAGGCCTTACAAGTGATGTATACAGTGAAGCAGTAATATCCCTTGTCTTATATTCAATATGTCTATAGATGTTATCCAAAATCCTATTAGTCCTATTGCTAGCTACAGTACGCTGGTTAGATGACTTAAGTAATTTTTTCAGTCACAACACCAAGATCTTTTTCTTCAGCCACAGTATTTAATGTATTCCCATTTAAATCATAACAAAACATTTGAATTGTGAAAAACTACATGCATCACCTTACATTTTGGATAGTTAAACATCATCTGCTATGTACTGGCCCAATGCATCAAATGATCTTAATCTTCCTGTAAGTCTGTAGCATCTTTGATACAGTTAGCCACCCTCAAAATCTTAATGTCATATGCAAACTTCAAAATTTTGATAGTCATTCCAGAGTCAATATTATTAATATAAATCACAAACAGCAAAGGACCCAGCACAGAGCCCCGAGGCACACTGCTTGTAACTGTGATCCAGTCAGATCTAACTCCATTTATTACTATACTCTGCTTTCTACTCTCCAGCCAATTTTCTATCCAATTTAATAACGTTCCCCCCACACCCACAGATTTAATTTTTGTAACAAGTTTTTTGTGAAGTACCTTATCAAATGCTTTCTGAAAATCAAGGTAAACCAAATCCACAGTATTTCCTTCATCAACTCTTGCAGTAACATCCTCAAAGAATGTCAGAAGATTTGTTAAACAAGACTTTCCCTTAGTGAAAATATGCTGGCTCTTTGACACTATATCAAACTGCTATAAGTGACTCTGCAATGCATCTTTAATCACACTCTCCAAAACCTTTCCAACTACTGATGTAAGACTAACTGGCCTATAATTGCCTGGACAATATCACCTCCTTTAAATATTGGACTAACATTAGGTAACTTTCAATCTTCTAATACTTTCCCTCTACTCAATGACTGGTAAAAATATTAGTTAGCAGTTCACAAATAAAATCTTTAAGTTTGTTTAAAACTCAAGGAAAAACGTTGTCTGATCCAGGGTATTTATCAGGTTTCCCAACTTTTCTCTTAAAATTTCAGAACTTAAAATGTTATCTTTTTACATCAATATTTTTCCCATACATTAAATGCTGTGGTTGTATCATCCTTTATAAAAACTGAAGAGAACAGACATAATTTAATAAGTTTACCATCTCATAATCTTCTGAGACAAGTTCCCCACCATAATCTTTAAGAGACCCAATCTCCATCCTGAAATTTTACTTGCCCATCATATACCCAAAGAATTCCTTATTGTTTGAGTGGAGTTTCTGAGCCACCCCTCTTTTATATACAGTTTTTGCCATTTTAACTACCTTTTTAACCAGCTCTCTTGGTTTCCTATAGTCCTCCAAGTCATTATTATTTCCAGTAAGTTTAAATTTGTTGAATTTATAATGTTTATCCCTAATATGTTCTCTTAAACCTTTACTAAACCATACTGGGTTATTCTGCTCCGATGCACTTTTTTTCTGTAGGGAATATGTATGTTCTATATGCATATCAATTTTTCTCTAAATGCTTCCCACATCTATTCAAAATTCCCTCCCAACTCTTTAGTCCAATCTACAGAAGCCAGATCATGTCTCATTAAATCAAAATTGACTTTCCTGACACTTGGAATCAGGGTACTATTCTTCTTCAATTCTAAATATAATAGTTCAATTGTTGCTTGTATTTAAATGGTCACCAACCACAACTCTATCTATCATATTCACATTGGATGCTAATATGAAACCTAATATAGCTTCATTTCTTGTAGGTTCCATCACCAGTTGGTGTATAAAATTATCCTGAACAATTTCCTAAAACCTATCCCCCACACTGTCAGACTCAAAATTTTCCCAATCAATACCCCTTAAATTAAAATCTTCCATAATAACAACATCTTTTTAAGCTACCATTGTGATCTCATTATACGATAACTGACCTGGTGCTTTATAACAAACCCCAATTACAAGACATTTACATCCACTAACACTAACCCAAACTGGCTCAACCTCAGTAACCACTAGCAGTTTTTTGCATAGATATTTAAAAAAATTGTTTTAAAAAAGATAAGATGCACTTGATTAGTAATTCAACTGTTAACAAGGGTATTGTTTTAGGGCAATTTTGGAAGCATATTCTCGGTATTATACGTAATTATGATTAGAATTAGGTACATTACCTTCTCTCACATAAATAGCTATTCTCATTCAGTGGTGCCCTCTTTATGCAAAAAAATTATGCATGCTGCAATCCATTAATCTCCTACTCAATTGGAATTGACTGATTCCAATGTGTCTCTCATGCAAATCATCATGCGACAACCCTTCATGAATGCATGTGACTCCCTCTATTCATTTCTACCAAACTATCACTTCTCGTTGGCAATACTCGTGTTATAACGTTTGGTTTGTGCTCTCTTCAAGTTTTATTTTGATATTTCTGTATATCTTTGTATTAATGTCTCTCAACAAGTTTACTCTTTATTATACAATAGTGATATTTGTAACTTGTTGAGATATTCTGAAGTGGAATTATTTTATATTTCTACCCAGTTACGGAACTTATTACTTCATTACAAAAACTTTTTATTTGTTTCTGCCAACATAGTTGTGTTTGATTATTCATGTTGCATTATGATGAGGAGTGGAATTCTCCGAAACTAGTATAACCCAATAACACACGTTGATCAAAGTGTAGATTGAACTGGATTTCCCTTGAACTTGGACCTCAAGATTGATAAATTTCCAGGATACTTATTTATTTTTTTATTTATTAAAAACTTTTTATTTGTTTCTGCCAACACAGTTGTGTTTGGTTATTCATGTTGCATTATGAATTCTACATCTGTGTTCTATTAGGACATTTACGCAGGCTTCAGGTTGTGGTACTTCGTGGGAGGATTTTCGGCTTCACTTTGTTGAGAGATTGATCGTCCAATGAATTGACTTTCATTGGGCCTTGCCTCCAGTTTGGGGGACCACACACTTAAATATAGTCCATCGACTTATATTTAGATAAAAATTTCTACTGTTATGGTGTTTGAATGATTTTATTGTTAATATTATTATCTGTAGTTATTTGGGTTCCATAACATAAGTTTTGTTAGATTGGTTAATGCACATGGTCAAGTTCAGGTTAGTTGTTTATCTTAGTTGTATATTTTCTCCTATATCATTTGCTTAACCTTACCATGGTCTTTGTTATTTTAGGATTAGCTGTAATTCATCTTACTGGTATATCAATAATTAATTTAACTATATATTGTTTTCTCTTCCATACATCACATCTCATACATATGTTATTGTTACTACACACTTCCTCAAGTTATCACGTCTATTTCAAGGTGGCCTTCATATTATTATTCTTGAGTATTTTGTACATCATGGCTTTTCTAAGGTTGTTTGAATCACTCTCATTCAGTAATGCCTTGAACTGAGTCAGTTCATCACCGAGGCCCTAGTTGAGATCTGATGTATATATCCTGATCAGTTTTGAAGCTGCTGAGCAAATTTGGTCTGGGTCCATTTCTAAAAGTCTGGAGAAATCCAACTCGACCATTCATCTCCGTTTAAGTGATTGCATGTCTATCAAGCTCTGTATGTAGCACATCAATTACAGAAATGAATCCTTCAACATGAAAAGCATCCTTAGGACTCAGCTCAACATTGGCTGAGCAACCATAATCTAGAGGATCCAGACAAACATTATGTTTCTGTTTACGTTATCTTTAAGCAAATTCTGTTGACTGTGAGTGTTCTATACCATCAGCCACAAAATCATCAAAGCGACCACGCAGAGACTGAACATATGTTGACAGAGATTTCAGGAGAGTCACAGCTGTGTTAAGATCAGTGGACTCACTTTGGAGACTCTTACTTGTCTGATTGAAATGGTTGAGGATGGTATGCTAGAATGCAGTGTAAATCCTGCTTCCAGTGTACACATCTTTTCGTAAAGAGAAGATGCAGTGTTCTTGGTCTCACCTTTTTGGCTTGCA